TAGCCCCATCCCTAATGGTTAAATGCCCTGACCCTAGCAGACTCACAACCTTGATAGATCCTAGAAAAGTCCTCATCCTCTTGTCTCCACCCAAAGCACAGCCTGGCTTTGTTAGGTCCAAAAGGGCCTGGCCAGGGTTCAATAAAGAACTTCTTGTGCCAGTTTCTGAGGTCCAGTCCACCAAGTCCACCTGGCACCCAATTCTAACTCTAACTATAGGACTGTAAACACCTACTGCCCCCAACTCTACTTTCACAGCATGCCCTTTCCCCTCAATCCTACCTTACAAAGAATCTGTAGACCTAGTCCTGCAAATATTCCTTAAAATGGAAGCCAGTCAGGACAGCACACACATGTAATGAGAGACCTAATGAGAGACCAGGAGTTAAACACACTCCGGTTAGGCAGAAAGATGGGGAGGTCCAGATTTGTCCACTGCTATCTCTTATGCTAGAGAATTTTCTTGCCTTTAAATCTTTAACTGGCAGGAAAATAACAATCTGATCAAGACCTCTAAACTATCACTAGCACTGGGAGGCAGAAGCAGGAGATCAGAAGTTCAAAGCAAGGATCGGCTACATAGTAAATTCAAGGCCAAGTTGGGCTTCATGACATCCTCTTTCAAGGGGGAAAAAAAATCCTTAAAATGGCTCTCAGGCCTCTGACTGAGTCTTGGTCTCACTTCTCGGGCTGCACCATGCAAATCTTCTACCACAGAAACTCTGGTAGCTTGGTATGCAGGTTGTTGTATCAGACAAAACTTTCTCTGGACAGTTCTGTTCCAAACTGGCCTCCTGGGGGACTCAATACACAGACAACTGTCTCCACCTTTCCCCAAATAGCTAAGCTAGCTCTTCTCACAGCTCCCAGCACTAATAGCCGTTCATCTCTGTCACCAGTTTCTACTCTCCTGTGTAAGTCCATGGTCTATCTCCCAATGGCTCAGGAGCAGCCTGAAGGCAGGGACTGTTTCCTGTGTTTAACTTGCTCTGCTCTGTATCAGCCCGCTCATGTCAGGCATTCAGTAAGTGCTGGTATCCAGGGGTATGGATATACACCTATGATTCCAGCTATTTAGAAGACTGAGACGGGAGAGTCACTGGTAAGGATCAGTTCAAGACCAGCCTGAGTAAAACAGCAAGATCCCATCTCAACTAATAAATGTTGTCGCCCTTATAAAGACACAGGTCATATGACATGCAGTTTCATTTCCGAACTTGTTTTTTGTTTTGTTTTGTTTTGTTTTTCGAGACAGGGTTTCCCTGTAGTTTTTAAGAGCCTGTCCTGGAACTAGCTCTTGTAGACCAGGCTGGCCTCGAACTCACAGAGATTTGCCTGCCTCTGCCTCCCAAATGCTGGGATTAAAGGCATGTGTCACCACTGACCAGCTAGAACTTGTTTTTTTTTAATTAACGATTTTTATTTATTATGTATACAGTGTTCTGTCTGCATGTATGTCTACTCGCCAGAAGAGGGCACCAGATCTCATCACAGATGGTTGTGAGCCACCATGTGGTTGCTGGGAACTGAACTCAGGACCATCTGGGAGAGCAGTCAGTGCTCTTAACCTCTGAGCCGTCTCTCCAGCCCCTCATTTCTGAACTTGTATTTGATGGTTAAGTGACAAATTAGAGTGTGTTGGGCAAAGAGTTTCCTGAAGTTGGAGAAGAAATTTTTCCAAACAGAATTGTTAGTATGCATCTATATCAGCAACAGGGTTTTGGTTTGTTTGGTTTTTGAGACAAGCTATCAAAATGGAGCTCAGACTGGCCTAAATCTGAAGCTCCTCTACCTCAGTTTACTGAGTAATAGAATTCGGTATTTTTGCTTGTTTGTTTTTGTCTTTGTTTTTACAAGACGGGGTCTCATTATATAGCCCTGGCTGTCCTGGAACTCACTATGTAGACCAGGCTGGACTTGAACTATAGAGATCCCTCTGCCTTTGCCTCCCAAGCAGGATTAAAGGTGTGCCACTAGCTCCAGCTTTGATATGTATTATAGGTGTGCACACCACACCTGAAGGAAGGCAGGTCTGCTTTGAAGGTCTGGGCGCCACTAGTTCTCTGAACCCTGCAGTGCTAGTGTTTGGGGGGGGCAGCTGCTGGTGGCTCCCAGCTAAGTTCCTGCCCTCATTTACTTCCAACTGGCTCTGTTAGGGGAAAGGAAAGCAGCAGAGCAGGGGGAGAGACACAGGCAGAGAACAGCAGCCCAGTCACACAATCTGAAATTCAGAAGTCCTGGGACTCCTGCAAAGAAGGGGAGCATCACCTGCCTAGTCCATCTAAGCAGAAGGAATGCCTGGAATGCAGGTGCAAGGCTGAAGAGCTGAGTACCTAGCCAAGGTAGAGGATCTGAGAGCTCTGGAATGTAAGATGTCAGTGAGAGGCTAAGGCTACAGGCCAGGAACATGTTGTTCCACCTCTCAGCTGGCCACAGAAGTGGGGTGTAGAAACCCTTCATCCATGCTTTATGAGTAACCCTAATAAACTCACAGGTTCATCAAAAAGTTACAAAGATGTGCATTTTCTCTAGAAAAAGAAATTCACACCCCGGTAGCCCTGGGTCAAAGAGGACTATGACTGGTTTTAAGTTTCTTTTTTATTGTTTCATTTTTCCCAGTACTGAGGCTGGAACCCAGGGCCTTGCACTAGGTTGAGAGCTCTACCACTGAATCATACCCCAGTGTAAGAATGTAAGCTTCTAGGAAAGGAGGCGGACACCTTGGCAAGTCCTCAGCGCTAACTATAAGGCTGATCTAGTAACACACACTGAAAAAGCCAAGACAGCAAGAGGATCAAGGATAAGTCAGGAGCTGGAAGGCATGCATGGGATGAGAGTCAGCAGCCCTAGGGGTCTAGACCTTGTCCTCTGACTCTTCAGAAATGGAAGTCCCATCACCAAGTTTTCAAGCAAGCAGGGTGGCTGCTACAGGAAGCATACTGGAACTCCCCCTCCCCACTCTCAGAAGGGATTAGAACTGATTCTGCCCTGAACCTTAAGAGAGACACAGAGCTGGCAGCTGGGTGCTGGGGAGAGGGTGGAGTAGGAGAAGCCTGCATTCCCCAGAGACCAATCAGGCTCTCTCAAGGCAGCATGGGTGTTAAGCAGCAGCAGGAGAGCCTTTCCAGCAGGCTTTCTGGGTGTCGCTGCCCACAGCCTGCAGGACAAGGACGTCTAAGGTGGAGGTCAGGACTGAGAAAGTCACAGTGTATGAAGACTGTTTACATTTGTTAAATATTTTTTTCAAAGACTTATTATGTCTACAACATTCTGCCTCCATATATGCCTGCACACCGGAAGAAGGCACCAGATCTCATTATAGATGGCTGTGAGTCACCATGTGGTTTCCGGGAATTGAACTCAGGACCTCTGGAAGAACAGCCAGTGGTCCTAACCTCCGAACCATCTCTCCAGCCCCTTGTTAAATATTTCTATTGCCAGGCATTTTGCAAGCCAGTTGACATTATGTTGGAAGCCTGAAACCAGCTGTTGTATAAACTGAAAAGGTTACAAATAATGGTCTCTTTGCCTTCTATAGAGTCTACTGTTACCAGCACAACACTGGAAAGACCCTACTGGGACCAAGTCAAGTTTTACTGAGGTCCATGGCAGCTACTGAAGGGAGGGACAACCATAGGCTGTAGAGGAGTTGAGAGTATTGCCTACTTTCTTTGAATTCTGGTTCAGACATCACCACTGGCTCTTCAAACAAGACTTGTCTATACTGGGAGCTTCCCAAGGCACAGTCCCTACAGCTCCCCTCTCCTGAGTTTTGGATCTCCACCTCGCCATGTCTCTCATAAACTCTGCTATTTCCTGCTTCCAAAGCCAACACCAGCTCCCAGATTCCTAGGATGGAGCTGCAATTAAGCTGGTCCCACCTGCCTCCACCAAGAGTCCTTTCTGATTCATAGAGCCAGAGGCCACAGCCAGGAGGGGCCAAGCGCAGACAACCAGAACTGACACCTACCTGGCTGGGCCCCCTCAGACTTGCCAAATTCTGGAGAAACAAACAAAAAAATGCTGCAAGGTGGTGTTTTGTTGCAGGATAAGGGGACCCCCACAGAAGTGGGGGGAACAGCCTCACCTGCTGTCTTCTGACTGACTACCAAGTCAGAAGGCTGTCAGGGCAGACATTAGACACCCTGATACCTTACTCAGATTCCCAGGTTCAGACCTAAGCCAGGAAGAAACTGTCTTGCTTCTGCAGGGTCAAGAGAGATCATTCAAGGGCTCCAACCCAGACCAAAGTAAGCATCAGAAATTCAGGCACCATGGGAATGCCTTAGACATTGTGGCCTCTTCTGACACTGACAGCAAGAGCCAGCTCACTGAGACTCACTACTTCCCTGCTCCAGTCTCTTCTGGAGCTTGCCTTATGACACAAGGGAGCTCCCTGAAGCACAGACCCAAAGGGTTCCTGCACCTATTCTCAGCAGGGCAGCACACCCACTAGAAACTGGATGTTCCAGGGAGTCATGTGGCACTGTGCATCTTGAAAAGGCTCTGCCCATTCCAAACCCTAAGAAAGGGGTGACATTATCCACATCTCCAGTGACTGATAGAAAATCAGATATCAGGGATCAGGGCAAGTGAAGGGAAGACAGGATAGGAAGGACAAGGCCACTAATTTGGAGCCCACTATGCTCTAGCTCCCAGGATGCTAACATACGAGAATCATTGTACTCCTCTCAACAACAGTGTGAGAAAGGAGGTCAGAGAGCAAAACTGGATCAAACTCAGCTTTCTAACTTCAAAGCTCTTAGGCCACAATGCCTCCCACATTCCGGCTACAGTGGGAGACCATGGGACCATAGGTCAGGAAGCAGTTGTACATACCAATCAAAACCAATCCATGCTCACAAGGGAAGATTCATATGCTCAAGAGCAGGCCAGAGGCTAGGTACAAAATGTACCCTTTCTTGGTGGCAAAAGAGGTTGGTTTCTCGAAGCCAGGAGCATAGAATATAAGGGAAGAAGTACCATACTGGCATGCTTACCTGCTACTTCCACAATCTGGTGCCGGGCAATGTCATAGTAAGGGTCATCCCACTTCAGGTGTGTGACAGGTTCTGGAGAGCTGCTTTTAGAGTCATCTGAGGAACATGGTAAAAGCAGAGTCACCCTAGGGGCTGGCCTAGCACTTTCTCCATGACTCATTCTCTCTAGCCTGCCCCCAGGGAACTTACATTCCTAGCCATACTCTAGGGCTGGTCTCCTTGGCCCAATCTTACCCCCTGGAGATCCCTTCAGCAGGAAGGAGCCTCCTCTCCAGGGTGTCTACAGTTGTCAGAGACATTGTGCCACTCACCTGACTTGGGAAAGTCTGGCATTTCATCAGAAGGCCAGTTCTTCTCATCAATGGAGGCTAGCTTCAACTGGTTCAGATCTGGGCTGGTATCATCCAAGGTCAGATCATCTTGCAGCTCTGAGAGAGGATCCATGACTACGTCTGTTCCCTGCAGAAGAACCAGAGGAGAAACCTGGGTGTGGAGGGGAGGAAAAGTGGTGGGTCAGCTTCTGTAATTCTTTCAGTGAACCCTTCTGTCCCCTTCTTTTCTCTTCTGGCACCCTTGTCCCTATTCCTCAACAGTCCTAATCCTGCCAAGAGTTCCACAGAGTATGTTGCCAGAAAAGGCAGCTGGAGTCATGGATGGCACAGCCCAGCACCTCCCTTCAAGTCCTCAGCCAGATCCCACACTGCTGTCACCCTACTGACCAAGTAATGCAGTCACAGCTGCCAAAGGGCATATCCTCACATGCCCCAACAGTTACAGGAATAGATGCTACAAGAATCCAAGGAATCCAAGAATCTCCAAATGCCATGAAAAAGGTCAGCTGGGGCCCACTCCTTTCCCCAGATCGAAGATGATAGGGTCCCAGGAGGAAAGGGTCATGGCTGAGGTGTGCAGTTTGGTTTACCTGGGACAAGGAATGGAATCTTTCTGCCAATCCCAGCAGACCCCTTGTAGGTCCCCAATGTTCTTGGGCCCTCTCTAAACCTGTAGGGGTTCCAGACCGCGGTTCCTGTGACAGAGTCAGCAGACTGCCTTCAGGACGTCAGGGCACAGAGGGAGAAGAGGCCGCCTGCAATGCTAGAGCATGGAGGTAAGGACAGAAGAGCAGGAGAGCTGGGAGGAGAGTTGGCACTAAAACCAGGTCTAGGACCCAGCCAAAGGAGGTGGCACCTCTCTTGAGCTCACCAGATGGGTGAGGAAGGAGGCTTCATCCAACCCAGTTGCCCAACACCAAAGAAGAAACTGCATTCCCGAGGCCAGGAGAAAATGACGTATAAGGTCAGAGAATTAGTAGGACAGGCAAGAGGAGAGAAAGGGGCTGGGCGTAGGAAGAAGAGAAGAGCTGCCACGTGAGATGCACACTGTGGGCTACAAGGATTGTGACAACTGCCCCTCCCGCACACATTGCAGCCTAGGGCTCTAATGGTGAACAGCTCCCAGGGCCTAAGCAACAACTGCTTTGTTACCACGGCAATAAACTGAGTCAGTAGAAAAACTGTTTCAGGTTTTCAAAGACCAAGCTTCTTCCTTGCTCTTTTTCTCCTGTCCCTTGGGGATTAACTCACCCAGCTGTTCCTCCCTAAGAACACAAAGGGAAAACTTTTCACATTTGGGAATGCATTTCTCTTGGTGAGTAACTTTGCTTTTGCCCAAAGATCAGATCTTCACTCCCCCTTCAACCCTCGGCCCTTCAACCCTCGGTCCTCCAATCAGGCGATCTCCAGTATGGAGGAATTTGCCTCTGGCCCACCGACTCTCCAAGATTCAACCAGGAGGCTATAGGGCTGCTTCTCACAGGACCCTAGCTTAGTGGCTCTCAACCTGTGGGCTGAAACCCCTTTGGTGACAAAATGATCCTTTCATACGGGTCACCTATGACCACTGGAAAACACGGATATTTACATTATGATTCATAACAGTAACAAAATTACAGTTTTGAAAATAATTTTATGGATGGGGGTCACCACAACATGAGGAATCAGGAAGGGTGAGAAGCACTGGCTTATTAAAGTGAACAGATTCCAGTTCGAAACAACACCCTCCTGCTAGAGGTGGCTCTCCATCCCACCACTGCCCAGGCACCAGAAACTTCCTGACACCCCCGACCTTACAGCTATGCAAGAGAAATCATTTTGTACACAATAAGTATCTGGCGTGATAGAAAAAGCATGAAATCAAATATATGAAAAAACAGGTGACAGTCCTGCCTAAGCCAACGGTTGCAAAGATTCTGGGCAAGCGCCTTTCCTATCTGGATCTTAAATTTCCTTATCTCCTCCCAGAGACCTAACTCCCCAGTGCTCAGAAGCACTTGCGTGGAAGTAAACAGGATTAAAAGTAGCAGTTAGAGTTGAGCTGTGTGTGCGGGAGAAGAGCTGAATATGACTCCCATCTCTACTCCAGGAGACTCTCTCCCGAGCTCTTCAACTCCCACATAACCTCCCTTACCAGCAAAACTAATCACAGTGTGCCCAGCTCCCTGACCTCTCTCAGCACCTCTGTTGCCTTCTCTGAACCCAGATGTTTATCCGTTGTTCAGTGGGAGATGAATTTCCCACGAAGGGAAATTCTAACGCAAAATGATAGAAATGAAATAATACCAGCCACTTGCGAGCCCTATTCAGTTCTGCGGAAACACTTCTAAGATGAATCTTGCACTTTCTTTAGAAAAAGACTTGACTTTGGCAAAATCATAAATCTCTCAAAAAATCTGATATCTGTGGACTTCTCAAAAAAATGAACAGATCCATGAAATCTTGCATGCAATTTTAAAGGCTTCACAAGCCTTCTGAGTTACTGCCTAAGAGCCATTTCGAAGGCTAAGGCCACAGCTTAGTAACAGAGCACTTTGCCTGCTCTCCAGCACAGGAAAACAAAGCAACTTTATTCAGAATAATGCCTGGCACATAGTAGACATCCTGTCGTTAGCTGAATGACTACATGATTTTCCTAAGAGAAGAAAGGAACCAACACTTGTGAAAGACCAACATAGTACCGGAGCTGGAGCCAGTTCACCTCACAACCCACTACTAGGTCAGCATATGCTAGTAAAGCCATTTACGGTTTGAGCAGACTGGGGGCTGGGAGATGAGCACATTGCTAGAGGTCATAGAACCCAGAGGCAGGATTTCAATCCACAAATACGTTTGAGGTGGCCTCTTGGTGAAAGTCAACCCCTCAACAACACTCCTATGTGCCTGTCAGTCACAAATTCATAGGGTTCAAAGAGGAGCCACGAAGGGGCAGCCAGAACTTGAATACCAGGGCAGAACAGAGACAGCAACTTGAAGTCATAGAGTTTGCTGGTGTTGGATTCGGATTGTTGTGACTCCAGAAAAACAAAAATCCTACACGACAGCAACTCTCAACTATAATCACGTTTGCATAGTCAAAAAACTACATTGAGTGTATTTCATTTCACAAGAAAATGAGAAGAAAGCATGGCCTATCAAGTGGCAAAATCGATCACTTCCCCCTAATTTCTCGATCTCAGTGTTTTGCTGGATCCTGTCAGGGAGACTTCTCCCACCCACGGGTTTGTTCTGTATTGGCCTATGCCTTGGAGAGGGAAGAAGTCAGAGAAAGTGGCTGTCTTCTCATTGCAGATACCGAAGTGGGGCAAAATCCCGGCAGTGGAGAGACCAAGGCCCTCAGGCCCAGTTCCACCTCGGCGTCACTGCCTCCAAATCTCCCCTTTAGGACCTAACCCCTTCAGACGACCAGCGCAGCTCTTTCCCTTCCCCCACCGCGCCCAGCGAGACCCCGCGCTCTGCAGCTCACCGCGCTCAGGCAAGGCTCCCTCTGCCACGCCTGTCAAAGCTCGGCAAACATCCGGCTCCGAGGAGGAACGGGAACCGCCCCCTCGGGGGCCCCGCGCCCCAGCTACTTCCGCCACATCTTCCTACTTCCGGTTTTCTTCCTGGTCCAAACATGGCTTTCCTGGAGTCCCGCCCACTTCCGAGAGTCACCTTCTAAAATGCCGGTCTAAGAGGTTAGACAGTAGAACTTTCCGACTCCTCACTTCCTAAGGAGGGCGGGTTGACATATTGGTTCCGCTCTTCCAGATACTGAAAGTAAGCGAGCCCCAGAAATCCTGTGTTCGTATCGTTCTCGGACAGAGTTTTGTCTAACTAGTACTTTCAAACTCCCAGTCCTGTGCTTCAGTGATGCTTAACCATCGAGATTCTTTCTTTCCTTTTTTTGGTTCTGAATTTTCTTGAGCGTAAATTTGGAGTCAAGGACTGTTTCCGAGAGGAACCTGGACAAAAAACGCTCACTTCCGGCGAAGGGGTGTTGGCGGGAGCTCTCAGATCCAGGATGAAGGAAGCGAAGGAGATGCTCTTGGGAAAGACTCTGCCGCTCCGTGAGTGACCAGTGACGTTTGCAACCCTCAGTCCTGGACTAGATGGCCCCAGCGTTTTCTAGTCAGCGCCTTTCCTCCCATCCCTTTTTCTCTCGAGCCTGGGATCCTGCTCCGGTGCCTTCCAAGGGCAGGGGCTGTCAGGGGCTGGAGTAGAGCCTTGCTTATCCCTCGGACTCCTGAGGCATAGCTGACTTTGCACTTTCCTCCTGCGTCTTTTCCCAACCCCACGCCCTCGTGGGCCGCTCCTTTCACTGCTTTCCCGTCTCCCTGCAGCCCCCGATCCGCGCCTGGGCCAGGACTCAGGATGGAGCCCATCTGGAGAAGGCTTTGCTCAGGGCCTCAAAGACTTGCCACCTGGCACAAGAGGTGCCATACTTGCTCTCAGGAGCCTCCCCCAGGGCTTGGCCTTGGGCCCTTCCCGCGCCAGGAAACACCACTTAGGGATCTGGTGTGTCGGAGAGCCTCTGCAGCTCGGACTGCATTGGGGACCTCTGGAAGTGGACTCCGTCTTGGAAGAGAAGGGCGAGGGAGTGAAGCCGCCGCACGAGGAGGTATTGAAGAATAGGACGTCTCCAGTCTGAAAGTTTGGGGAAGGGTCAGACACATCCGGACAGCGCTTCCAGTTCGTTAGAACCAGGGTATTTAAAGCCTGGGAAGTCGTTTTTGTCCCTTCACTGCCTTACTTTACCTAAGCTACAGTAACTAAAGAATGCAAATGCAAAAAGTTGTCAGCCGAATTCCTAGGGTGTCCACAGTGACAAAGGTCAGAAGCTAAAGTTACCAGGATCAGATTTGAGCTTCGTCAACTAGTTAACGCGAAATTACATGCCTCATGTTACTGGCCTGTAAAAGAAAGCAGTGGCTATTACATGATTTGGAAGGCTGGAGGAAATGATGCAAGTAAAGGGTGAATACGAAGGATTGTTTAAAACGATTGTTGCTTTTCGCTGTGCGTGGTGGCGCATTGTTAATCCCATCACTCCTTGCTCCCCGCTCCCAAAAGGAATGTGAAAGAGCTTTCATTATCTTATTCCAGGAACTGTCACTAGGCTGGTGGGGAGCCATATGTACTTGGAAACAAAGTTCAGCTTGGGTCAGGTAAGTTATCCAAATGTGCCTACACACTAAACTTGGGATAGAACCTGAAGCCAATTCTAGCTGTCTACCCAGGGGTCTTTTCCAGTATGTCCTTCCAAAGATTTGGTGAAGAGGACCTGTTGAGCCAGCTCTTGCTCTGTTTTGCAGTTTGGTGCAACAAGCTGGCCTACAGAGTGATGGAAATGTGTCCTTGGTCTGGATCAGTGAGAAGTGTCACCTGCAGGTATACCGGATTGTGTTGCCAGGCTCTGAGTTGCTGCTGTGCCCACAGTCTCCCTCCAAGAACCTAAGTGTCTTGCACCCCAGGCTAGAGGAAGAAGCAGCTGTAGTGGCGGTGGCAGAAGAGGAATCTGCTAGACACGAAGAAGTGGTCTTCCCCCGACAAGATTCAGCAGAGTCTTGCACAGGTGTGTGCTCAATACACCCTTGTCCAAGGTCATGTTGGCCTTTGGGCTGCTGGAGACCCTGTCTCAAAACAGACCGCCAAGGGCTGGACACGGCTGGGTTAGGAAAGTCCTTAGGTACAAACATGAGAGCCAAACTTGGGGTCCCAGAATCCGTGGAAAAGCTGAGTGTGGGGCCTGGAGAACTGGATCAGCGGGTAAGAGCGCTGGCTACTCTGGCTACTCTGCCAAAGGTCCTGGGTTCAATGCCCAGAGCCCACTTGGCAGTTTACAACTTTCTGTAACTCCATTTCCAGAGGATGTGCTGTCCTCACACGGACTTACATGCAGGCAGAACCCCAATGTACATTTTTTAAAAAGCACACATCTCTAAATCTAAATGTTAGGTGAGAAGGGACCAAAGGCAGAAACAGGTGTTTCCTGGGGCTCCGTGGCCAGCCGGTAAGCACCAGGTTAGGAGGCCACCTGACAATAGGTCTGTGAATTTCCACACACACAAAGCCATGTTATAAATGCCCTCTCACAGAGTGTCACAAAACTGTTTGTGATAGGAAAAACAGTATGTGGCTCGGCCTAGTAAAGGACAACAGGAAAATCATAGTGGCCTTTCAACATGTGGTTTGAGCTTGTAGTGTGGCTCTGTGCTGGAGTGCTTGGCCGTGCGAGAGGCGCTGCTCAATCCCTAGGTCTCCCAAAAGAGAGAGAAAAGGGAAATGTAGCGAGTTAGCTCGATATGGTAAATAACCAGGCCAGCTTAAGAATAACAATTATATTTTTAATGGTTATAATGAGAAACTCACACCACAAGAATGGGGAGTCCAACTTCCTCTGTGTCTTGCACACCTGGGCCCTCCCAGTTTTTTTTTCTGGGCCCCAGGTAGCCACGCCTTAACTAGATGTGATTGGTTGACAGAGATTAGAGATTCCCCATCAGGGAAAAGGAAAGAAAACCTGGTTAAGAGGATCTGGCCAAGGGTGAAGGATATAGGTCCATAATCGCACACTTGCTTCTCTTGATCAAGGAATCAAGTTCAAGCCCCCAGTAAGAAGAAAAAAAAGCTCTGATTTTAAATAGGCCTAGGACGCAATTCAGTGGTAGAGTCCTGCATACATGGAGCCCTAGGAGGGCAGCATGATATTAGAAAGTAGAACAGGGTTGGGTAAGGGCCTTGAGGACATAATAGTTCTGATTTTGTCTTTTACATGTATTTGCGTGTGTGTGAGCATGCAGAGTTGCCACAGTGCCTGGCTATTCAGGTCAGAGGACAACTTCTTTTTTTTTGGTTTTTTCAAGACAAGGTTTCTCTGTAGCTTTGGAACCTGTCCTGGAACTAGCTCTTATAGACCAAGCTGGCCTCAAACTCACAAAGATCCATCTGCCTCTGCCTTCCGAGTGCTGGGATTAAAGACATGCGCCACCACCGCCTGGTTAAGAGGACAACTTTCAGGCTTTGGGTTCTCTCTTTCCACCAGTGAAGGACTTGAGGATCACTCAGGTCCTAGGCAGCACTAGGCAGCAAGCAATACCCACTGAGGTAGCTCACTGGCCCAGGAGATTTTGGACAATCGACATAGTTTGGGGCTGTAAACTGTCATTTTATGCTTTCAATTGGAACATGGTAAGTCTTCCTTGCAATGTACAGATTTTTGTGTCTTCTTTAGAGTTTCTTGGAGCTGGGCAGTGTATTACACTGTACCATGCTTGAGGAGTCCAGAAGAGGGTCCTTATTCCCATAGGAACCAGAATTACAGGTGGTTGTTAGCCACCTTGTGGATGATGAGAGTGGAATCCTAGTCCCCTGGAAAAGCAGTGTTCTGCTCAGTCATCCCTCCGGCCTCACCTTGCCTCCTCCTGGTTCCCAGTCCTGGTCTCCTTCACCTCCCCAACAGTACCCTTCTACTTTCCTGTTGTATCCCCAGAGCTGGGACAGGGTTTCATTTTACATACGAACTCAGGCTGGGAGATGTGAGGGTCCAATCCCAGGTTGTGTCTCCAGTGGAGAAGAAGGCCCTTACTCTGAAGTGGCCTTTCTCTAGAGATTAACCAGATGGGCTTCCCTAGAAGTGTTTGATACTGGATAGGAAAGAGAAAGTGTAGCTCCTGGTCCAGGAAAGATACATGTGTAGGTTTTTCCACTGAAGAATAGGTGCTGGCCGAGCAAAAGAAAACATGGAGTATATAATTCCCCAGTAATAAATACTATCCGCTACCAAGCTTGGCTAACCCTTGAACCCCATCTTTTTCCTCAGATCCTGGTCATGAGTCACTCCATAGGATCCAAGGAGAAAACATGGTAGGTTCTGGACCTGTGGCCCCAAACCGAGATCAGCCTCTCAAGGATAACCAACCCCTTGGCCTGCTGCTTCCAGAAGACAGCATGGATAAAGATCGCCTGCTACAGACACCACCTGAACCTCAGGGCATCTTAGCTGCCCAGAAGAGCCCAGAGAGCAAGGACACCAGTTTATTAACTCCCACAGGGACCCAGGTGCAAACCTTCCCAGCCGAGAAGTTCCACGTCCCCAGCAGTGAATGCCTATCCACAGTGCAAATCTCAGAGCCCAGAACCCAGCTCCCTAGCTTCCTTGTACTGCAGTGCAGTCCTCCTGACCCGGTAGGAGACTCCTCAAAGCAGGGGCGACGATACCGATGTGGGAAGTGTGGGAAGGCGTTCCTGCAGCTGTGCCACCTCAAGAAACATGCATTTGTGCACACGGACCACAAGCCGTTCCTGTGCACCGAGTGTGGCAAGGGTTACAGCTCTGAGGAAAGCTTCAAAGCCCACATGCTGGGCCATCGAGGGGTGAGGCCCTTTGGTTGCTCACAGTGTGACAAGGCTTATGGTACCCGCAGGGACCTCAGAGAGCATCAGCTGGTTCATTCAGGTGCCCGACCCTTTGTGTGTGAGCTGTGTGGCAAAGCCTTTGCTCGCCGACCTTCCCTACGGCTACACCAGAAGACCCACCAGATGCCAGATGCCCCTTCCCCGTGCCCATGCCCAGTGTGTGGTCGGCTCCTGGCAACCCAGGGTTCACTGCGGAACCACATGAGGCTCCACACTGGGGAAAAACCCTTCCTGTGCCCACACTGTGGGCGAGCATTCCGCCAGCGGGCCAACCTCCGAGGACACTTGAGGCTGCACACAGGGGAGCGTCCTTATCGATGCCCACACTGTGCCAATACTTTCCCCCAGCTTCCTGAGCTGCGACGCCATCTCATCTCCCACACTGGTGAGGCCTACCTGTGCCCAGTGTGTGGGAAGGCCCTCCGAGACCCACATACACTGCGTGCTCACGAACGCCTCCACTCAGGGGAAAGGCCCTTTCAGTGCCCCCAATGTGACCGAGCTTACACACTGGCCACCAAGCTCCGCCGTCACCTCAAGTCCCACACGACAGATAAGCCCTACCAGTGCCCTATCTGTGGCATGGGCTATGCCCTCCCTCAAAGCCTCAAGCGGCACCAGCTCAATCATCAGCATGGGGTTTCCTCCAGCCCTTCTCTGCCTCCTGCAGCCTCTGAGTCCACCGTGGTGCTCCTGCAAAGTGAACCAGAGCTGCTGGACATGTGCAGCCAACAGGAAGTGCCCCCAAGCGGGGGTATTGTGGAGGTCAGCATCTCTGAGAAGCAGCAAAAGTGCTCTGTAGTACCCGAGGAGCCAGCCTCGTGCTGACCCACAAAGATGTGGGCTTTAGTGACTGGGCCGAGGTGGTGGAGGTGGAGGCAGGCACCTGACACCTTCCCCATGTCTGCCCCCACCCCTACAAGAGCTCTCCATAAAGACTGTTCTAGCAGATTGTGTCTGTATGACATTCTTTTTGGGTCTCCTCTAGATACAGGAACCAAGTTGACTGGCTCTTAGGGTTGGGAAAGCTCAGCTATCAAACCACAGGTCACATGTCCTCTGGAGATCAGGTTTTAGTTAATTTTGACTGCTTTTCATGGCATCTAAAAGAAGGGTTCTCAACCTGTGGGTCATGACCCCTTTTATAGAGGACTTAGGCCTAATAAGACTGTTGTAAATCACATACTTAAAATTCATAGATGTAGCAAATTTACAGTTATGATGAAGTAGCAATAAAAAATGTTATAGTTAGGGGGTCACCACAGTTCTAAAGGGTTGAAATGTGGGCACTGGAGAGATGGCTCAGAGGTTAAGAGTACCTGCTGTTCTTCCAGAGGTTCTGAGTTATTTCCAGCAGCCACATGGTGGCTCACAACCATCTGTAATGAGATGTGGGCATACATGCAAGCAGAACATATGTGTGTGTGTATGTGTGATATATATATGTGTGTGTGTGTATATATATATTGTGGGTAGGGGGTCAAAACCTTAGGAAGGTTGAGAACCACTGGTCTAAGGAAAAAGCAAATCTCAAATTTGTATCAATATACAAAGTTTGTACACAATATACAAAACTCCAATGTAAAATATTTAAAACTATTAGTAGTTCCTTTCTAAAGATAGAATCAATAATCTACCTTTTTATCCTATCATATCTGTATCCCCCTTTTTTCTTTCCAAAACAAGAACTCTAATCTCCTTTGTTCAGCTTTCCTCTTTTTGGTTTTTCAAGACAGGGTTTTTCTCTGTAGCTTTGGAGCCTGTCCTGGAATTCTAGACCAGGCTGGCCTTGAACTCACAGAGATCTACCTGCATTTGCCTCCCAAGTGTTGGGATTAAAGGTGTGTACCACCATCGCCCAGCGGAGGCAACTGTATCTTTAGACAATCTTGAAAAGAAAAATTTGGGTTAATTGTCAAGTCCTGGGAGAGGTGGCTGTACCATTTGTTGTTCAGTCTCTGCGTAATGGGAAAGGGCAGGATTTGTCTCACGCCCCGCCTAGAGTAGTCTGTTAGGCTAAATCATCTCAGCTAGTCACCTCAGAATGGTTCTGAACAGTTTGTAATCCAAAGCCAATCTGTAGGTGATGTTTTTCAGCTTAGTGGTGTTATCATAGTCTTGGAGGAATTGTCGTTGTGGGGCCCCATCCTCCTTATGGAGACTGCAAAGGTCACTATTAGGCATGCTCATGGTTCACTGCAAAAAACTGATGGAGACTAAAACCTGAAATCATGTACAGGAAGGTAGATGAAACCTTTTTCTTTTTTTTAATTTTTTATTGATTTTTATTGAGCTCTACATTTTTCTCTGCTCCCCTCCCCTTCAATCCTCCCCCAGGGTCCTCATGCTCCCGATTTACTCAGATCTTGTCTTTTTCTACTTCCCATGTAGATCAGAGCTATGTATGTCTCTCTTAGGAAACTTTTTGTTGTCTAGGTTCTCTGGGATTGTGATTTGTGTGCTGATTTTCTTTGCTTTATGTTTAAAAACCACTTATGAGTCAATACTTGTGATAATTGTCTTTCTGGGTCTGGCTTACCTCACTCAAAATGATGTTTTCTAGCTCCATCCATTTGCCTGCAAAATTCAAGCTGTCATTATTTTTTTCTGCTGTGTAGTACTCCATTGTGTAAATGTGCCACATTTTCCTTATCCATTCTTTGGTCGAGGGGCATTTAGGTTGTTTCCAGGTTCTGGCTGTGACAAACAATGCTGCTATGAACATAGTTGAGCACATGTCCTTGTGGCACGATTGAGCATCCTTGTACCCAAAAGTGGTATTGCTGGGTCTTGAGGAAGGTTGTTTCCTAATTTTCTGAGAAATCGCCACACTGACATCCAAAGGGGTTGTACCAGCTTGTATTCCCACCAGCAATGCAGAAGTGTTCCCTTTTCCCCACAACCTCTCCAGCATAAGTTGTCATCAGTGTTTTTGATTTTGGCATTCTTATAGGTATAAGATGAAATCTTAGAGTTGTTTTGATTTGCATTTCTCTGATGACTAAGGATGTAATATTTCCTATTTTTAACATGGGAGAAAAATTATTTTTAACTATCCCACTCCCTTAATTTCCAGTTATCTAACCAGATCTGCTGACGATGTGTGAGGCTGTTTGTTGCTGTGCAGCACAGCTGGGCAGAGACACAGGTGGTGCACAGCCTAGCTGAGGGCAGCTGCAGCCGCTGTGAACTGAGAGCGTGTGGTCTTCACAGCAACAATACAGCCTGAGATGGTGTAGCAGTGGGGTGGGGGTATCCTCCGGAAGCATGCAGCAAACAGGGAGAAGGAGCCAGCCATCTGCAAACCTGACCCAGGGGAGCGTGTCGGGGAAGCAGGCATGGTGGGAGCTGCCTGGAGGCAGAGCCAGCCGTCCAGGGAGGCAAACTCGAGTCTGGGCGGCAGCTGGAACTTGTAGAGAAGGTGAAACAGGAAAATCCCAAACTTGCTCAGAGGTCCTGGGGCAAGAAAGGAAAAACCAGCTGGTGGTGGTGTTGGCTCCAGGGCTGCAAAGCCAGGGTTGAGAAGCTATCTCATGGTTTCTTGGCCCACACTGGGTGCAAAATGATGTGTTTATCTAATTATTCTTTATCAATAAAAAATTTTTTATCAATAAAAAATATATATATCAGGGTAAGAAACTGAATGATCAGAGAAGCGGTGGAGAAGCCAACAGTGACCTCCTACCTCTTCCATTCCCCTACCCTCTCTCAACCCCACCTTACTATTTCCTGTCTTCCATCTGAACTCAGTCCTAGTCAACTCAAAGCAAACTTTATTGTCAGAATGCAATCAAAATTTCACACAATATCCCAGAGTGCATCTCACTGCAGCAACCATGCGGCAGTGTCTGCCCATGCTATTCGGCGTCCTGGAAGCACTCTGCTCCTTCCTGAACTCTGCAGTCAATGGGATGCTTTGGGCGATTGAGGCCGTCCACCCCTCGGGAACATTCCCACACCTAAACACAGGTGGAGAGCTTTCTCTGTTCAGGCTGATAGAGTGAGGTCAGAACAAAGTCAACACTCTTGACAACCTGGGGTTTGGGAGTCAGTTCTGCTATCGCAGGCACAGTGAGTCTGGTGTTTAGAGATGAGGAGATAGGCCTGGAAAGGCCACAGTCATGAGGTCTGTCAGCAGCAGAGCCAGGACTGCACACAGCCTTCGGATGCCTAGGGATGCCTAGTGCTCTGTGTCTCACGTGAATGGCAATGTCCATCCTTGGAAAGACTGACCGTTAGTGTCAAGTAATTCTTAATAATGTGGTGTATAGAATCAAACACAAACTGGATGGTGGTGGTACATGCCTTTAATCCCAGCACGTAGGAGATAGAGGCAGACAGACCTGAGTTCAAGGCCAGTCTGGTCTGCAGAGCAAGTTCTAGGACAGTCAAGGCTACACAGAGAAACCCTGTCTTGAAAGCTCCATCCCCCACACAAATGAACCAAACATGACTGAACAAAAAAGAAATCAGTGAAATGATTCCTAATGGTATTCTGCTGTGCTCATAGATTGTTGCCTAGCTCAGTTGTTCATCCAGCAAATGATGGAAACAGATGCAGAGATCCATAGTCAAACATTAGGAAAACCTCAGGGAATCCTGAAGAAGATGGGGAGGAAGAATTGTAAAAGCCAAAGGAGTCAAGGATACTACAAAAAAATCCACAGAATCAACTAAACAGGGCTCACAGGGACTCACAGACTGAACTGAAACCAAGTAGCCTCTATGGGATTGACAGGCACTCTGCATATGTGTTACTGTAGCAAGTCTTTCTCTGTCCTGACAGCCAGCTCCCAACTCATGAGCTTGTCCCACTAGCTCTTATAACTTAAATCAACATATTTTATTCATCTGTGTGTTGCCATGTGACTAGCAGCTTTTCCCTCTCCTCCTGTCTGTTCTCTATGTGTCCACTAGCAGCTCCTCCTTTCTTCTTCCCAGCATCCTCTGTGCCTGTAAATCCTGCCTAGCTGTTGGTCGTTCAGCTTTTTGTTAAATGAATCAGAGTGACACATTTTTCACAGTGTACAGAAAAATTACTCCACACATGTTACAGTTGTGTAGCTTGGAATTATTGTGAAGAAATAGAAACAGTCATCAAAAGTCTCCCGACTGCTGAGGAGTTCTTCCCAGAGAGGTGAGTGGGTGCTCGCCTGGGCAGCCTGCCTGTCCGGGAACAGAGCACAGCCCCCCCCCCGCAGCTTCTGCAGCAGGGTCTTCGGTGTTCCAAGGGACCCCTCCCTCCCCCCACTGCTGCGGGCCCTTTGCCTCCCGGGTCCTGGGAAGACCAGCTAGCCCTGTTGCACTGCTGAGGAGCTCTTCCCAGAGAGCTGAGTGGGTGCTCGCCTGGGCAGCCTGCCTATCCGGGAACAGAGCACAGCCCTTCCCCCCTCAGCTTCTGCGGCAGGGTCTTCGGTGTTCCAAGGGACCCCTCCCCTCCCCCCACTGCTGCAGGCCCTTTGTCTCCAGGGTCCCTGGAAGACCAGCTAGCCCTGTTGCACTGCTGAGGAGCTCTTCCCAGAGAGGGCTGAGGAGCTCTATCCAGGGAGTGCTGTGAAGTCCTACCCAGAGAGTGTTGAGGAGTTCTATCCAGAAAGTGCTGAGGAGTTTCATCCAGAGTGGAGGAGATGGGCAGGCGCCAATGCAAGAATTCCTCCAACAACCTGAAAGGCAACATGACATCTCCAGAATCCAGGGAGCTCGAAACTAGAAGAACTGAACACCCTACTCCAGAAGAAATAGAAGAAATCGACTCTAAGCGGATCTTTATGAAAATAATAGAGGAACTTAAACAGGAGGTGAAAATCTGCCGTAAAGAAATGGAAGATAAGTATAACAAAAAGATTGAGGAAATGAGTAAAGAAATGGAAGAGAAATATACCAAAAAGTTTGAAGAAATGAGTAAATCCGTAAATGAAATTCTGGGAAACCAAGAAAAAACAATCAAAC